AGAAAGGGTGTTTAGGGAACATGTAGCAACATGTCTGGGGTTAATGTTGCCTTCAGACAAGTTTGTGTCGGCACATAAAGGGCAAAGAAAAAAAAAGCAGGTGACAAGAAAAAGCACCGAACCTGAAAAGTCTGTGGTAAAGGTTTTTGGTTCTCCTTGCTGCTGAGCTGCTTTGTAGAATTTGGCTCCAAAGCGCATGTGCTCATCCTACCAAGGCTGTCATCTAAAGGACTGTAATTGACATCCTTATTCTCTAGTATCAGACAGAGAAAAACAAGCACTAAATTCCACACTTATACTTTAAGTATTGTCCTAAACATTAAAAAAAACAAAAACTTTTTCCGTACATGGTTTAATTTCAGTTAGAAGTTTGTCACCTGGGAAACTGCGTGTAGTTTCAGCTTTGACTTTATGTCCTTCTGTACTCCTTGTAGCAGCCGCTTCAGCAGCAGACTGAGGATCAGGTCCATAGTCCCACTTGTTGCCACTCCCACTCAGAAGAATGAACTTGTTTGGGCCCTGGGCACCGCATTCATTGCCTTTAGCTGTGAGGGCCCCAATAACACTTTGAAGATCTGCTGTTTCGGGAAAGTATACCAACCGAGTATCAGACTTGGATGGATGGTCCATGATGCAGATACCACCAGGAAAGCTCTGAGCGGCAGCTGGTATTGACGGATCTTTGGAGCCTGATTCTCCAGGCTGTGAATCCGTCGCATTTTGATGAAGAGGCAGTTTTCTTCTTTTGAGAATCAGGGGTCTCGTCGGGCTCCGTCTCATGGTCAGATCATTGAAATGTGCCAAGTTGTTCAGAGGTATTCTGCACAAAAAATACAAACGAGCCTGGACAACGAAGATTAACTGTTACAACAAGAGTTAACGGTAACGGTAACGTTTACCTGGGAGATGGAAATTATCAAGTCAGTTACTGTTGTTAGCCATCGTTCACAGCAAATAAGTTTAGATCATCTCGGGAAAGCCCCGATTTAGCTCAAATACTTATAACAAATCGTACACTAAACGGGTTAAATGTTATCTAGATAAAACCAAGGTCCGCACCTTTTTTGTGTCTTTTATATCTTGAACTCCTCACTTAAGCGGCTGATTTTCTTCAGTTAGTGATGTTTCCGGACGATTTCCAGCTTCTCGAACAACAGACGTTAGCTAATGTTTTAACCCTCTGGGTTTGTTCAAAATCACAATCCTTTCAGCTTGTTCGTTGCCAAAAGTGTCCACCAACAAATTAGGTGTGTAATTTTTATTATTTTTATCGGGGGTTGTTGCTATTTTTGTTGCTATTTTT